AGATAGATAGATAGATAGATAGATAGATAGATAGATAGATAGATAGATAGATAGATTTCTTTATTGGCCAAGTGTGATTGGACACATAAGGAATTTGCCAGGTTTCCCCCCCCCCAACCTTTATGCCTGGATTCGCTTTCCAAAGATCTGGAGACAAATGACATTTGGGGGGATTTTTGCCCAAAACAGGAGTCAGGGTGTAGTACGCGGCTGATCCAAGCTTTGCTTTATCGGGTTTACTGAATAAACCACAATAAGATCGGCACTAAGCTATAAATCAGAGTTTGCAATCTGGCGGGGATCAAAGCAGCAGTTTATGGAGCCCCTGAGGGACCCCCAGGTGGAAAACACGTGTGTCCAACCTGCACAACGCACCCCCTGCAACTTTTCTGACCCTGGACGGTTCCAAGGAGAGACCCGACAGCTGCGTTGTTCACAAAAGGAGAACAGAAAGTGGGCTCACATCTTCTGCCTTCTATAAATATGCCCGGGGTGTGTGTGTGTGTGTGTGTGTGACTCCAGCTTAGCTCAAGAAGATGTCAAGGAGGGCAAGAAAACAACCCATCTCCTTGGAAGACCCCCACCCCCCAAAAAAGAAGGAGAGCTGTGCCACTTGCAGCAATTCCAACGTTTCCCCTGATTCGTGGTCGCAGCTGTGACCTTGTGGCCTCCTACAGGAGGATGGGGTGAGGGACGGAGGGCAGACCCCCCCCCTCTGGAAAGGCACAGCAGAGCAGAGGCCGGTGGGAGGCCTGGCGCTTCTTCCAAACCCCCGGGCTGAGTCTAGCCAAGCTTGCCAGGGTCAAAACGTTTTGGTCAGCTGCACCAAGCAAGCCTCAGTCCAGCCCGACTGTCTGAACTGAGAAGGGAATCATGTTCCCCCAGATGCCTTCCTTTGGAAAAAAAAAAAAAAAGAAAGTTCGCTGCACAGGCATCCCACCCAAGGCAGAGCTGCAAGACCCCACCCTGCAATAGCCGGCCTTTAGCAGGGGAGGGGGCTAGAATTTGAGGGCAGGGCCAGCTTGCCAGTTCACCTCTCCAGGGTCCCTGACTTTCTTCCTGCAACGCCGCCACCGGCTAAACTTGCCAGCATCGATCAACCAAGGGTGGGGTGGGGGGTTGTCCCCTCAGCCCCCTTTTCTCATGCTCTGGTTGGCAAAGGAAGCGCAGCAGAGGATCAGGAAGCCAGAAGCAGAGAAATAAGGTCCTCAGGGGTGTGAAAGAAAAACAGCCGACCTTGCAGAAAACTTCCAAACCGTCCTTTCTGCAAAATGGTTGGCGTGGCGAGCTCCGGATTATAAGCCATCCTGGATGCCCCTGGGCAAAGTGGCCAGGCTGCCAGTCCCTTCGTCTTGCCACAGGTGACTGACTGCCCATAAACGGAAAATCTCAAAATGAGAGTGAAGCGGAATTCCCCTCTCTTTCAAAAATAATCTACCAGGAACTTCCAAGGTTGGTAACTCCCTTCGCTGAGAACAGATGCCTGCCGGACAAATACCTGGCTTTCTCCTCTGCCCAACTACACTCCCTGTGGGGCCTGGGTACCTACCGTCCAGGTGGTCACACACATGACTTCAGGCTCGTGTGGAGGAGAGCTTGCTCCCAACGTGCTGCTCACTGGCTTTCTGTGTGCAACTGACACAAGAAGTGAAAGTGGCCTCGGGTTTCATTTTCCCCTGTCTCTGATTCTGATCAGGTCCACCCACTTACCTCTTTGCACTCTCCACGAGGCTCTCCTTCCCTCCCACCCACGATCCTTTCACACAGGACAATTTTGCCTCCCTGCGGGCGGCCAGTGTACGGCTGCAGTGTGAACGCTGGCACCAACACGACTGCACGGGCATCAGTGCGCAGGAGAGACCGGGGATGGCCAGGGCTGAGCTGGGAGCCAAAAATGGCCCAGATCATCTCACAGGTCACTGCTGTGGGACCCCCAAAGTCGCACCATAGGGGACAAGCAGAAGACCAAGGAAACGGGACTGGTGAGGCTGAGGATTAAATTAGCTGGTGCTCTGGACTGCCATTCCCACCAGCCTGTCATCCAGCACATTTGGCTGTAGGTTCCTTTCTCAAATTCAGGATTTTTAAAAAAATGGTTCCAAGATTTTAAAATGAGGTTCTAAAATGTCCCCCTGCCCTATTTATGCCATTAAATTGAAACTCAATATTTAAAATATAAGATCAAGAAAGGCAGTTGGCAAAGCCTGTGGAGAAAAGCTCCCTCATCCATTTAATTCTCAAATAGGATATAAATCCTATGTATCAGACAAATAGATATGATTTATCCTACTTGAGGATTAAATTAGTGTTCATTGATTTTTGAATTAAATTTAAATTCATGTTAGGCTTAAGTACCTAGCTATCTACCTCTCTGTTTGTAAGACAAAGCCAGTGAAATTATCCAACTGACCAGGAAGGAGGTGTTCCCACAGAGTGAGGTTGGATGCACCTTAATTCCCTTCCTACACAAATACTGAGAAATCTTTAATGCACTAAAGAATCATATGATATTAACCAAGCTTACCGGTCAAGTTTCTAGTCCTCAGTGAGACAGCTGCATTCTTAGTGTTTTCTTTAGACTTGCCAGAAAGCTGTAAGTAAGAGACGCAGCTGGAACTGGATGGCCCAGCCTGTTTTCCAAGCAGGGTCAGAGCAACCTTCCTTGCTAAGTCCTCAGGGTCTTTTTCATAGAGTAAGGTCTGATAATATTCCTGTGATATCATTCCTTCACTCAGCAGGGAGTCCAGGAAGCTTTGAACTTGCAGGGCCGAAGCCGTTAATAAAATGCCCCTCACTTCTGGCAAGATTTGCTTGAAAATATCCATTTTGGCAGCCGGAGCGCTTGGATTTCTCTCAATTATTTATGCCGCACTTCCCTGTTTTTCTACGGATATTTATATGGTGAACTCATCTTACCAAGGGTCCAAAAAGATGAAGTGAGAAAAAGAAAACTGATGTGTTTGATTTGGGGAATCGACACTGATATTTCCCCATTTCGTGGAATGCACGACAGCATCTTCCAAGGATGCTGTTGTCTCCCCTGTTTTATTTATTTATTCATTTATTTAATTTTTTTACTTACTTATTTATTTAATTTTTTACTTATTTACTTATTTAATTTTTTACTTATTTATTTATCATTTCTAAAAATTGATTACTTGGATGCTTGCTTGGTTGCAGTTAATAGCAAAACTGTACATTGCAGATGGGGTGTTTTTTTTTTTTGAAAAGTTTCCCCAAGAGTGGGAAATTCACCCAAACCCTTGCTAGAGTCAAATAGAGACTTTATTCAGAAAGGAGTGTGTGTGTGTGTGTGTGTGAGAGAGAGAGAGAGAGAGAGAGCGGGAGCGAGCGAGGGCCTTGCTTGTGAAATTACACGTTGAATTCGATGTGCTTATTGTTCGCGAACCGTTTGGCAGCTTCGGGAGGCTCCCTGGGTGAGGGCGGGTGTTCCGTCCCCTCCCTTTACACCCACCCCGAGAGGCGCCAGAACCGCAGCAGCGGGCTCCTTGGCGGGGCGCCGGGTCGAGACCCCAGGCAGGTCGGGCGGGCGGGGGGCGTTGCAGGCTGGTGGGAGCTCCGCGGCGCTTCTCCTGGGGCGAGGGGCGCCGAGGCTGCCTGGCCTTTTAGTCCCGGGATAAAGCTTCCTGCGGTTGGGGCAGCCTGGGAGTTGCTCAGGCTCGCGGTGCATCCCAAAGCAGGGAGGGCAGCTCCACAGCGCCCGGGGCAGGAAGGGGAAAACCGGGCTCCGGCTATCCGCGCGGCAGCCTCGCTCGCGGCTCCCCCTCTGGGTTCACCTGCTCCTCGGGGCGTTTCTGCCCCAAGGGGCGGCGGGTAGTCGGCCAGCGAAAGCACCTGCAAGGCGAACCTGCGGGCGTGTCTCCTAACAACGCCGGGAAATTCCAGTCGCTCAGCTATGCCAAGGCAGGCCAGATGCAGACAGATCGCCTCCTTTACAAAGCTTGTGGGGGGAGGGGGGCTGCGAGACCCTTCCCCCTTGCGCTTAAGTCTGTTGCTGCAGATTTTCAGGCCAAGTTTTGCGTTTGGGGCTGGATTTCAGCTGGGCAATGTGGCATTAGCTCCTTGGTTGCCATGAAGCCAGGCAGAAAGGCACACAAAGTGGGGAACCTCACAGGTCAAGGATGGGGATCGGCAGGGTCCCAACATTGGGGACCTGAAAGAGCAGCCAAGACCAGGGACTTGGGGCTGTCGGCCTGCAGCTGCCCGGTGCCCAAAGCCAGGCAGTCTCTGCGCCAACCTGCCACTCACTGCCTGGGCAGAAGCATCCCTGCTCCAGTCGCCATAGCAACGGCCAGGAGGAGGCAGGATGTTGGGTGGATCCTGTTCACATCCGCAGAGGCCAGAGGAGGAGGAAGAGGAGGAGACGGAGCCAAGAAGATGAAGCAGGTGGGGGAGAAGGGGCTGAAGGGGAGGGGAGGAAAACCAGAGTATCATGGGATGGCTTTGGACCGGCAGGATGCAGGAGGCTGTGTGTAAAGCAATTCCCTGCCCAAAGGCGGCCTGGGAGAGTCTTTGGCCCTGAGCGCAGAAAAGGAGCACAAGGCAAAACAGGCAGGGGGGCAATCCAGCCTGGGAGAAGGTTATTTGGAACAGAACCCATTTTCCGGAGGGAGGCCTTGAGTATCGGGGCGTGTGGACACCTGGTGTTTCTGGAAAACAAGAGGCAGGGAGTCCCTCGGCCTTGGGAGGCAGGAGGAGTGACTCAACCCTTCAGTCAAAACAGAGGCTGTGTGTACTTTCACTTGCACGCGCACGTAGGCAGCCAGCTGGCCAGAGCGAGGCCTGGTGTGGCTGAAAAGAGGAGGCGACTCCAGGTGGGAAAAGCTACCTGGAAACATTGAGAGGCAGGAGGGGAGCAGCCTTGCCAGTCAAGCGCAGGGACTGAGGGCGCAGGAGAAAGGGGGCTGGGAAGGGGGCCAAAGCTCTGCTGGAAAAGGAGGACAGAAAGAGGCCTGGTTCTGCCAGGGTGGCTCCAGCCATGGCCTCCGAGGGCTTCATCACGCCTTCCCTTGGTGCACCTCTGAGCCTGGGTGTGTATGGGATGCTCACGCAGGGCCCACCTTTTTCAGACCTTGGCAGATGACACGGAAGACGTGTCCCTCGACTTTGGGAATGAAGAGGAGCTGGCCTTAAGGAAGGCAAAAGTCAGGTAAGGAGGGGGGCCTCTTCCAACTGCCTTCTCTCGGTTTTATAAACGGACCCTTTTTTATACGTACGATGGATGTGCGCGTGCAAACTTCCTTTTGAGTTTCTGCTGCACTGGTTGAGGGGTTTTCTTTTTCCCGCTCAACTGAATTTGGGGCTTATTTGGTAGAAAGCTTGTTGGAATTCTGTGTTCTGTAACCGCATGGCATGGCTGTTCTTAGGCAAGCTGACCGAAGCTTTTGGTATTTCTGGCACTTACTAAGTACTCTTGCCAAATTAGTTGGCTGTGCAGAATCATTGAGAATTGGGCTGCACACAAGTTTAATATTGTTCCTGTATAAGTGTAGCCTAAACATTTTGGATTTGCTTTTTAAATTACTTGATTAAATTCGGTGACCTTTGCTGTTTGGGTCCAGAACTATCCAAACGAGGCTTCTTTACCGAAATGCACAGATGCAAAATCAAATGTTTCTCCTTGCTGTTCTCTTGTGCCTACCGTTGCCAGGTAGGTAAATATGAGATCACATGAGGGCGTCCCAGGTGTCCTTGGACTCGGCCTTTCTGTAAACAGTTTATCTTTCTTCTCATTCTCACCGACTAATGTAAACACACCCTGCAGGGCTTGGCTCGCTCTTGCAGCCGATGGGGCTTCACCGGGAAGCCAGTGTGCCAATACCCAGCCAGAGCCGCCTGGCCTTTGCCCTCCTCCGCCCGGAAGCCCCAGAGCAGCAAAATCCTGCGTTACCCAAATGTTTAAAGGAGGGCGGTCCAACCTCAGCAACTCCCAACATTCTGGGTGGTTCCTTCCTAGGTACCCTCTGGCCACCTTTTTCCACCTCTTCTTCCGCGTGAGTGCCATCGTGACCTACCTCTTCTGCGACTGGTTCAGCAAAAGCTTCATCGGCTGCTTCCTCGTCATCCTCCTCCTCCTCTCCTTTGACTTCTGGTCTGTGAAGGTAGGCCTTGGTTCTGCCGGGCCCTTCAGGGTGCCAAGGAAGGAGGAGAGGCACCCAGCTCCCTCCTCCGTTCCATCTTCTCTTCCTCAGCCTCATACAATTGTTAGCGCTCTTGGTGGTGGGCAGATACAAGGAGCACCGAGGAAGCAAACCTTGAATTTGCTTTATGAGTTTGTTACTTAACAGGTGCCAATGGTGGAAAAGGGGCTTTCTTCTCCTAGATAAAAAGGGGGGAGGGGTAAGGTGGCGCCTCGGGCATCACCACCAGTCTCAGCTGGGATCAAGCAACTGGAGAAATGAAAGGCCATGGTTGCAGCCAATGCAATGAAGGAGGTATCGTTTTCCAGAGCTTTCCAGCCTAGGGCCTGCCAGGCCATCAGCTCCCTTCCCACCAGCCGGCAAAGTCACAGGGTTGCAGTCCTCGACCAAGGGAGTCCGATGGGCGAGTCACCATCGGCTTCTCCAAATTGACGGCACAGGGAGAAATGCTGGTTCTGGTGGACCCAGCCTGGTTTAGGCGAGGCGAAGGGCCTCCTACGTTTCTCTAGTTCAAGAAACCCCCCAAACTCCCCCCTTTCTTCCCGGCAACCTCTCCCTAAAGGTCACCCTCTTCTTTCATCTGCCCCACCAGAATGTCACCGGAAGGTTGCTGGTCGGTTTGCGATGGTGGAACCAGATCGACGAGGATGGGAGGAGCCACTGGGTGTTTGAAGCAAGGAAGGTAGTTGCTTCTCTTTTTCAGCACGTGAACTTTTGGGCCAGTTTACGAAGGGGAGCCACTTGCTCTTGAACTGCAAGAGAAAGGCCTTGAGGCGAACCTGAGCACCTCCCTTCTTGCCTGGGGGAAGCCAGAGGTCAGAATGCAGCCGTCATAACCCCCAGCTAACATCACCATGGTTGGGAACGAGGGGATTTTTCATGTCGGTCTGGAAAAGGGAGGGTGGGGGAATCTGGTGGCTTTGCGCATTTTGGAGCCCGACATTTCAAAGGGCTTCACAAATTTTGGACCATATAAACCCAATCAAAGCATCACATTTTAAGGAAGTTTGCTTGCTAGCATGAAGAAGTGAATCTGCTTTCTTAATATGACAGTATCTGTTCCCATTTCTGTTGAATGTTGTCGTCTTGCAGAGATTTGGGCCGAGAGCAACACTCACAACCACGTCTTAAAATAATTTGCTTTTCTCTCCTTTTGAGGCTCCCTCTGCTGTGGCTCCCCCCACTGAGGTAGAAGCCCGGATCTTCTGGCTCGGGCTGATCATCTGCCCTGTCATCTGGATCCTGTTCTTCTTCAGCACCTTGTTCTCTCTGAAGCTGAAGTGGCTGGTAAGGGCTGGGCGGCACTCGGCAGGGTTCCTCTGGGACTCCGAGACCGCCCAACGGCTTTCCAGAGGGCAGCTTTTGCCCAGATGTCTGCCACCGTCCGTCGCTAGATGCTTCGTGAGCAGGCAGGGATGGCGTAAAGCCTGCATCAGGGCCCACCCAAGGCCCCTGTGTGGGTGGAGGGCTTCCTTGGTGGGGCGCTGAAGCATTTTCTGAGTCAGGAGTCGGGAAGAGCTCAGTTCTCCCTCGCCTCTTCTGGGTGACCTTTGGCAGACTGGCTGTCATCCCTGACTCTCGTAAATCTCACTCAGCCAACGTTCCTGAAGCTCTACTTCCAGCTAGAACTTTGCAGTCTTCGGGGGTAGAAATTTAAAAAGATCCTCAGGTTCTCAGGAGCCTGGATTCATTACAAAATATCCGTGTGATTATGTGAAGGCGCTTTGCACAATCGTATAAATACCTGTCGAGAGCCTGCCTTTCTGAAAACCATCCTCATCTATTAGCCCCCCTGTTTATGCTGGGCGAGGGCTGCTCCCCCCCCAGGTCCTCGGGGGTCTCCCCAGTTTCATTAGAAACCTGCCTGCGGGTCTGCTGCCCCTCTACGCTTTGTGTTCCAGGCCCTGGTGATAACTGGCATCTGTCTCCAGGCGGCTAACCTTTACGGCTACATCCACTGTAAACTCGGGGGAGCCTCCCAAGCCACCCGCAAAGTCACCCCACCCTTCCCGGCCCAGGACCTCTTCCAGAAGGTGAGCAGCGGGAGAGCCTCCCGCCCGGCTTTGGAGGTGAAGCATCAGTGGGGAAGACTGGAAATGGGGGTGGCTTCTTAAACGGAGGGAATCGCTCAACGGATCCTGGCCATGGCGGGGTGGGTGGGGCTGCAACCGGGGAATTCTGCCGCACCTGCACCCTAGCGTTGGCTTCCCCACCTCTTTGGCCACCAGCCTTGTTCTATTGCTCCTGCAGGAACGATCAGAGGACTTTCAAAAAAACGTCCTGAAGCATCTGGGGACCCAAAGCCATTAAAATGAGGCTGTCTGGAATGTCCCCGGGGGACGGTTTCTGCGCTAAACACGACAGGCTGCCTTTCGCTTCAGAAGAGCCAACACAGCACATTCAGCAGCAGCTTCAGCTTCCTCCTGGCCTCACATCCCACGTGGCACTTTCTGGCACAGCAGCCCTTCTCTAGGACGCTGTTCCGGCCTTCTCCTCTGCCGGAGTGGGGCAGGCCCAGAAGCCTCTGCCCCTCCCTGCTCCTTCAGCCCAGCCCAGATCCGTTAGGCATCATTTCAGCATTTGTGGGCGGCTTTCTAGGGCTCTCCAGCAGACCCTGGGTGTGCATGTCCCACATTCCTTTCTGCCCCCGTTCACCTGTGGAGGATGCTGGGGGCGTGGAACAGCCATCCTTCCTGCCAGCCTCTCCCTGGGGAGCAGCAAGGGGCACGAGGGGAGTCCCTGCCCACGGTCTCTGCCTCCTCCCTGCTTTCTGTAAGAACGCTTGATCCGTGAAGCAGATGAGGAAGTGAAACAGCGATCCCTCTGCTTAGAACCAGACAGACACAAACAGATGAGTTATTTTTATTTGCAGTCTTAGAAGAGCTAATATGGCACCACACGGTGTCTCTCGTGGACAGGACCCTGTCGGTATCACCCTTTTAAAACACCTGAAGAAGGAGACTGAATAAAATCAAGGGAACTGACTTTTGTCCTCAAAGAGAAAAAGGAAGACTTACGTTTTTTCTCAATAAAAGCAGCCTCTGAACTTGTCTCCAGTGGCTGATTTCACCAGTGAAGTTAATTATTAAGGGAAGTTATCAAATCACGATAAGTGGATCTGCTCCCAGGAACAAAACACAGCCTGTTTTTGGAAAACCTAGAAAGGCTCTCCTCAGAAAAACATCTTTGATTGGCAAGTATTATTCCAAGGTATTTATTTGCACATACATGATTGTGCACAAAGGATCCACGTTTATCTGCTACTCAGATCATGTTTTCTTCCTGTGGGGAGTTCTGGTTGCAATAATCCTGGACTCCTGCAAAAAGATCCAAAGCAAGAATTAGATTCAAACTCCGCAATGCCTCCCTCTCTGGCTGGCTTCCAGCCACAGGCACGAAGGCCACCAGGTGGCTCTTGGGAGGGGCTGGGAGGCCACTATTGCCCAAAGGAGTGGCCTGTGGCTGAAAACGATTCCGAGAGCCAGATTTGCTGTCCAAAACATCTTTTTTTTTTTTTAAAAAAGGACACCCTGAAGCGCTTGGATGAATCCTTTGAAGGGCTGAACTCACTTTGGATAATGTTCCTGCAAGACAGGGTGGCTGGAGAATGCGGTGCTTCAGCTAAGAAAGAGCGGCCTCGGTCACAACTTTTTCCTGCTCGAGGGGAAAAGGGGCAAATGTAGTGAAATGACTCCCAAAGAGAAATGCTCTCTCCAGTTCCCCACCAGGATGCCTCATCCATTTTGAGGAACAGAGATTCTCGCTGCCAATCTGCTCTCTTTCGCGCCAAAAATGTGCCAATAGGTCATTACCTTACCTATTTGAGGGTCGAGAGGCATTTTTCCCAGGAGAGGCACGTTTAAGGTGCGGCACATCATCTCTGCACCCCCCGTGGTGAGAGGAAATATTTGGGACTCTTTCTGTAAAAGGGGAAAACTGTTACACAGGCTCCGAGATGTTCCGGAAAGGTCCCTTCCGCTGCCGCCTGGAGCAGTGGAATTGAGCCTGCAGCCCCCTGCCAGGGAGGGAACGTGGCCAGCTGCTCAGGGCTGCAGAAGCTCCCTGGAATTCACAGGAGCCATTTTGGTGGCTGGAGGCCTAAAGGGAGAAGAAACTCTCAAGGACTGGGTAGGGGTAGCGGAATCTCACCACGGAAGGGCTGGACTCGTCAAGAATAATTACCCTACTTAAAAGCTGTTAAGAGAGATGTAACAATACCTTACATTTTGGGCATACGAAGCCGCTCATATTTTCCACCACTCCAATGACAGGTAGCTTCACCTTATGGCAGAAGCTGATCTCTTTCCGAACATCCTGAAGTGCCACTTCCTGTGGGAAAGAAGAGCTGACCACTAATCCAGCTTTCCCGCATTAATAGTTGCCCTTGAAAAGAAAAAGTGGCCCACTGACCACACTGCCCTTAAGGTTTGGCCCAGGGGTCCTGCAAAAGCATTGCTGGGGGAACTCACATCTTGGTATCTCCCTGCCTCTTCTGATCTTCCTACCCATTCCCTTCTCATGTGGCCTCCCCTCCCCAAACCCAAACGGCTGTTCCCAATATTGTTTCTGCATCTCCTTCAAAACTGGTCCATTCGCCTCCTGCTTCCCACTTACCTGTTAGGAAAAAATGGGGACAGCTGTGGGGTTTTAATCAGAAGGCTGAGCCGATTCAAGGCTTATTTCCTACAATGTGCATCTGGCAGTGCTTGCCTATGTGCTTTCAGCCCAACTGAAATGCCGCCTTAGTCCCATTACGGAGGTTCCATATCTCACCTGTGGGGTGGTGATGATCACTGCCCCATCAACTCTGGCACTGCTGAGAAACTGGACTATGGATATATGTTCATCTGATGTTCCTGGAGGGGTATCTACAATCAGGTAGTCAATTTCACCCCAGTCCACATCCCGAAGAAATTGCTTAATCATCCCTAAAAATAATAATAAAAAATAAAGGGAGAAGCTGGGTCTTTTGGGGGGGAAGCCTGAAATTTACCTCAATCGCCCGCATCAAGTGTGCTGGAGTGTATTTTTCTTAATATATTTTCACATGGTCACCAAATAAAAATAATTATCAGCTAGTTATCAAGCTCTAAAATTAGAGCTAGTTTAATTTTAACTAAACCTATGGACCAAATTTGCAGATGATACTAAGCTGGCAGGAATAGCTAACACCCAAGAAGACAGGCTGAAGATCCAGATGGATCTTGACAGACTAGAACACTGGGCCATATTTAACAAAATGAAATTCAATGTAGAGAAAAGTAAAGTCCTACACTTAGGCAAGAAAAACCCAAAGGACACATATAGACTGGGTGAAACCAGGCTCAATAGCAGGAACTGTAAGAGGGATCTTGGAGTCTTAGTGGACAACCAGCTAAATAGGAGCCAGCAGTGGGCAGCAGCAGCCAAAAAAGCTAACGCAATCCTAAATTGTATTAATAGAGGGATACAATCAAGATCAAGGGAGGTACTAATACTACTCTATAAAACCCTAGTAAGACCACACCTAGAGTACTTCATCCAGTTTTGTTCACATTATAAAAAAGATGTTGAGACTCTAGAAAAAGGGCAGAAAAGAGCAACCAGGATGATTAGGGGACTGGAGGCTCAAACATATGAAGAACGGTTATAGGAACTTGGGCTTGACTAGTCTAGTAAAGAGAAGGACCAGGGGAGACTTGATAACGGTCTTCCAATATTTGAGGGGCTGCCACAGAGAGGAGGAGGGGGTCAAGCTATTTTCCAAGGCACCTGAAGGCCAGACAAGGAATAATGGATGGAAACTGAACAAGGATTCCACCTGGAAATAAGGAGAAACTTTCTGACAGGGAGAACAATCAACCCATGGAACAGAAGTTGCCCTCGGAAGTTGTGGGAGCGCCCTCACTTGAGACTTTCAAGAAGAGATAGGACTGCCATTTGTCAGAAATGGTGTGGGGTCTCGCCGCTTGGGCAGCGAGTTGGACTAGATGACCTATGAGGTCCCTTCCAACTCTGATTATCTGTTATTTGTTATCTGACACTCCAGAAGTGGGGAAGCCACTGCCATTCACAAGTAAATCCGCAGTTGGGTTTCTTTGCAGACACAAACCGTTTTTTTTCGGTCCTCTCCAAATAACGGCATCATCAGGGCTGCTCAGCAGAAACCCCACTGACATCACACCCAGGTTTTCTTCAGCGTACTAGAAGACAGGAGCACACACACGACTGACAAAACAAAAACTACAAATGCATTATTATTTCTGTCTAGGAAGCAGCTGCAACCTTATCACTCCTAGAGTTCACCCAGAGATCAAGTATCTCTGCATCTAAGCCAAACCTTTTCAGAAAGTAAATAAATCTTAATTTACTTATTTCAGTCAGTAAACTAATATAAGGAACTTCAGCACCAAAATAGGAGAATAGGGGAGAGGCCATCTAACGCTTGCTTTTTCTTGATGAAAATGTAGTTTCTAATTTTTGACTGAAAGTGGCAACCAGCAGGAAAGACCAGAGTTCTCGTGCAGTTAAGAAACAGCCAAAGGAACTCACCACTGGAGACCAGCCAGACCCACTTTGATGAACCTGAAAAGAAGGTTTCAAAATGTTAATATGCACCCAGCACCCAACATCACAATAATTTGCTATTGCTCTAAATTTGTAATTCAAAGTGAGAGTTAATTTATGATGATAATATCCACGTAGTTAGAAAAAAACCCAATATATAGATTTTCCAAGACTAGATATTGGTAAGAGATTGACAAGCAACAAGCATCACCCCAAATCAGGGAGAGGAGCTAAGCACCCTATTTTAGAAACATGTAAGTTTGCTACAACAGAACTTTCTGTCCTGGGATAGATCTTTTAAGTACATCTTGTTATTGGTTTCCAAAAGGCCAGTTCTCACTTTGCAGAACCACTAAACCAAAACTAAAAAGTGTCCAGGTTAATCTAGAAAGCTGCCTTTTAAAAAGGACCGCATGGCACAAGCACTGACATCCCGAGTCAAGAGCAACCATTTCTGACACACAAAGCCACACCTGTTCTCCCTCAAGGCCCATGATTTTGGGGATGGATGGTCCACAAATGTCAATGTCCAGCACGGCAACCTGGAGTGGGAAGAGACAGTCAGGATTTGCAAGTTTACTTTCAAAGATACCACAAAAATATGTATAGGATTGTTGCAACCCTTTATGATGACCTGGGGCGTGGCACGAAGGCAACACAGCCAGAGAACCGATATGAGTCCCTTTATTTACTCTAACTTTGCCCCCAATGTCCTGTTTACTCTCTGGCCTGGAGAAAAACTCTCCCATGAACTTGCACAGCCTCTGGCCACAGATACTCTGGTCCAAACTCTGTAAACAGAATGACTCCAATCAATCACTCCAGCAGGGCAAGATAATGAGTCCAATAATTCCAGCAAGGCAAGATAAGCACACAAAGAACCACGGCAATAATTCAAACAGTCAGGAATGCAGGCTAAACTCTCAGCACTAGATGAATTCAGTATTTGTTCCCAACAACCGCCCCTCCCAATAGCCTCTCCTTTAAACTCCATCCCCAGGTGTGCCTTGTGAAGGGAATCGGGGTCCTTTCCTTCCTCATAAGCCACACAACCCACGTTGCTCTCTTCTGCGTTCTTCGTTGCACGCCCTAGGACGAGGAGGGGGTGGGCCTTGGTCTTCATCTGAACAGCTTGTTCTACCTCTCCCTGGTCTGCCCAGCCTGACTTCGCCCTTCCCCAGTTTCCTCCATAGCCAACGGAGCCACTCTCCTGGTCTCTGTCAGCTGCTTGTCTTCCCCCTCAGATTCAGACTGGGGGGAGGGGGGGGGGAAATGACACCCTTTCACTGATCAGAAGGCTGGCTCCAGGAAAGGACATAATCTCTATCTGCTATCAAGCAACATTATGTATGTGTGGCCTTCCTCACGAAGCCATCACGAGAAATTGCTTGTTTGTCTCCATTGTCAGGCCACTGTTAGGACAACCTCTGTGATGCTGAAGAGTGTTATACAGAAGACCCTCACCTGCGTCGTTTCATCCTCTGCTAATCCGTGGGCCAAGAGAGCAGTGAATGTGCTCTTACCCACACCTCCTTTCCCAGACAACACCAGCAGCTTGTGCTTGACAGTTTTCATCTTTTCCTTGATTTCCTCAATAGCTTCATGGAGGAGAAAACAACAGAAAAAACTTTAATCAATAAAATATTTTGTATTTGAGGATGGAGAGAGTCGGATATGATATGGAACTTGGTTTTCCTCTCATGACTGAGTGGCCCTACAACAGGGTTAGCCCCTAGCCTGCCATTAAGCCCCCTCCACCCCTAATGGTCCCACCTCACCCACAGCTCAAAGGTAAATGAAAAAAAGCACTGAGAACTCTGCAAGCTGCCATCTGTTGTGGTTAGCCGGCAGCAGGTGCGGACGGCTGAGGAGAGCGAGGACTCAGATGAGGGGCCAGGACCATTAGGGAGTGGACTGCTGCCTTCAGAAATTGTGGGGGCTGGCAGCAGCGATGAGGAGGTTCCAGAGGAGCCTGCGCCAAGTGCGTGTGTGCACAGGATTGATCATAGGAGAGAGCAGTCACAGCAGCACAGGTGACTCGGGAGTAAGGCTGCAAGGTAATGGCCCCTCCCTCAAGAGGATAAAAGCCAGGTTTGAAGAAGCATTCTTTGCAGAAGGTAAAGACACTCTGAGAGTCAGCACCGTGGACATCATAGTCAGTATTTGAAAACTCTTGGAAACTAGTTCTTATCTCTGGGTTTTTGGCAGCCTTGACAAACAACTTGGCAAGGCTAATTACTTGGAAGCAGCCTTCTATCTGTGAAGAAACAGAATTTGTGGATTAAACCTTAAAAGGTGGGGGCTGCTGCCTTTGTCTTGTGTTTGCTCTTTTGGAACCCAGTTGGGTCAGAACACCATCAGAGACTCCCTCCCAAGCTCGTTCTCCAAGCTCAGTTGCATAACGCACCCATAACATACCTGGGTCAGGGCCAGCAAGTTGTCCCAAGGAACACAAGCCCTGGTTGGGGCATCCTTGGCAAGCATCAGCCTTGCCTGCTTCATTGCTGTCAGTGCCTGGACAGTCTGGAGGGGATATGAATAAAGGAGAATATTCACACTGGAGGAAGATGAGGAGTCACAGGCGAGCGTGATGGCAACAGATCTGACTTAAAATGTAGCATCATTGTAGTAGGCCAGGGAAAAAAAGTGCAAGAGAGAAAAAGGCTGGATGCTAAAGAGGTGGTGAGCAGGGTGGACAGTCAGGTCCAGATTAAAGCAGCACCAAGAATGGCTGTGCAGCCTGGTTGGAAATCCACAGAAGGGGAGCCCCCCCCCCCTTCCCTCTGGAAGGACAGAGGCCCTTTCCTGCCAGGCCCTTCAGGGACCTTAAAATTGCTCTCCTGTCAAACCCCACCACGACAATCTCCCCCCCACCCCACCCGAAGTTCAAATGGCCCCCACCATGCTAATATTTCAAAGGGACCTTTTGTTCACGCACAGACACAATTCAAGGCTCTCTGGTTGTTTATATATTTATTAATTATTACATTTTTATGTCACCCATTTCCCTACAAAGTGGAGACTCTGGCCGGCTTAAGAGTTATAAAACAAATAAAAAAAGAATTAAAATAGTAAAACATAATTGCACTGATTAAAATATTATTAAAAATTTTTACTCAGATGGAAACTCAGAGCGCTAAGACTGTGATTATCTTTATTGCTCCTGGGGGGGCGTCGAGGTGGGGCCGGGCAAGGCCGAAAAAAGGGGGCCGGCCGACCCTCCCTCTGCGGCCCCGCTCCCAGGCCTTTCCAGGGGCTCCGAGGACGGCGATTCGGCGGAGAGGCGCGCCCCCCGTCCGCCCGGCACCCCCCTCGCTCACCGTGAGGCCGTCCGTCGAGGGAAGGCCCGCTCCCCTCCGCCATAGCGGCGCCACTGCCGGAAGAGGAGTGCACTTCCGGCCGGAGGAGGGACGCCAAAAAGGCTCCCGCTGTGCGCCCGAAAGAAATCCTCCCCCGGAAAAAGAGAACGGGCGATGCGTTCCGGTTGGAGCGCGGAGGGAGGCTGGAGGAGCCGAGCGAGGAAAGGGGAGGCCGGCCCCTCTTTTCCGGCCTTAGTCCGGCCCCACAGCTTGGGACAGGGCGCCCCTCAACGCCCCCAGCTCTTTGGCTTGGGGTTATTCAGAGGGGCTGGGAAGCTGGCGGCTGAGGCCTGACCCACCAGAAGAGTGGACCATCTCCCAGAATTCCCCAGCAGGCATGGCACCTGGGGAATTCTGGGGGTTGAAGTCCACCTGTCCTCAGGTTGCCCAGGCTGGGAAAGCCTGGCTCAGGGCAAGCAGGGAGGCATTTTAAGCAGGCAGTGGAGGAGGGGGGGGGGGCTCCAGGGTCCTTTTGTGACACCAGCGCCAAGTCACAGTGCCAGGCTAGGCTCAAGGGGCAGAGACCCCCCCTCCCCCCCAAGGCAGCTGAATTGCTTTTGCGCCTTGGGCTGCCAGGGAGGTTGGTAACTGCCTGTGGTGTTTGATGGAATTCTTGGGCACCACCCAGACGGCCAGCTACTGTGGACCGAAGAAGAGCTGCCTGCTGCCAGAGGTGGCCCCCACCAGCCTCAGCCATGACAGCTACCAGGCTTACTACCTGCCAGGCTATCGCTACCTGAACTCATGGAGGCCCAGCCTCTTCTACAAGGTCTCCGCTTTCCGACCTGGCGATGAGGGGGCCGGGCGCCTCAGTGCCCCGTTGAGGCCCCCAACCATCCTGCCCTCGGTGAGGTCCTCCCTCTACGCCCGCTACAGTCCCCAAGACTGGTATAAAGCCAACGCCGTGCAGATCAAAGGGTCGGAGGCATACCGGCACTGGGCCGGGCGGCTGAATGCGGACAGTGCGCGGCTCATGCAAGACAAGGACCAGCTGACTCGGCAGCAGCAGGAGGATTCTGGGAAAAACCTGGGACAGAGGCTGGCCGACATCGATTTCTGGCGGTCCGAGTTGACCTATGAGCTCGAGCGGCTGCTGCTTGATACTCGTGCGCTGGACACTGCCAAGCGGCGCCTGGAGTGTGCGGCTGATGAAGCCCAGGGGCCTCTCCAGGCAAGTGTGGCTCCCCCAGTGCTGTCAGGCTGCTATTAATGTGGGGTGCTGGAGAAACAGTACTGGCCTCTCTTGCGGCCTCTCTTGCGGCCATGCCTTGCCAACCATTTCCCTGGTGGGTTAGCTCTACAACATTCTCCTTTGCTGTAACACTGCAGCATCCTTCGAATGGTAGGCAAGCCCTTGGAAGGATAGCAACATGCTTTTTATTATGAATCTATCCCTGAACTAGGCCATCAACAGGCTCACAAAATGATAGGCAAGATAAAATGACCTGTGCTTTCTGCCAAAGGCGGTTTGCAGTAGAGGTATGGAGAAACACTCTTCCACCATAGAAAATATCCCTTGGGCATTTGCTTCTGTGAAGTGTCTCAGAAGAGATTAAAAATGCTTAGGCAGATTGCTTCAGAAATGGCAATTCTACTTTTTGTGTTAAAAGCCAGAACAGCAATTTGTTTCCAGCTCAGAAAGGAGGAGGAATCTGCCAAAGCTCCGGAATAAGTAAAGTCTTAACTTCTCTGCTGGTGGCAGCACCAGCCCAACCTTGACTTGAAAGCTAAGCCAGTTTGTGCCCGGTTGAAAAACAAGTCACTAGGAGTCAAAGCTTGACTTGAAAGAAGCTCTGGCTTTCCTATCGGACCTCTGCACCCGCCTTGGCCAATAAGGAATTCTACCTGTCTATTCATCTAGCCAGAGCCCAGGCTGTATCGTTTTATATCGGTTTGTATTTCTGAACCGTAGGCAGGTAGACGTGCTCCTACAGAGCCTCTTGGAAGCTTTGTTCATGTGCTCAACAATTGCAATGTTAATGGTATTGCTGGTGCCTTCTCATGAAATATCAGTTGTAGAAGAAAAGGGTGAGAATTCCACTCTCCTGAGTGTAGAAAAGTAGGATTTTAAAAGTGTTGTTATGCGCCCGCTAGAAACATTGTGCGCTTCAGTCAGCTTTGCTGTGAGATGAAAACTGGCCACTAGGTGGCATACTAGCTTTTCTCTTCAAAGCTGTTCAGGACATCTTGTTGACCCCCAAAGCAGCCATAGCCAAAGTTGGCTTGAGGCAGGAGCTTTTTGTCCTCTCCACCCCCCCCCCCCCCCGCCCCCCTGGATATCTTTTTAATTCTATTTCTATTTTGTTCGTAGGTGGCCTTGGAATGCTTATACAATCGGGAGAAACGGATGGGAATTGACTTGGTCCACGATCACGTGGAAAGGAATCTTATACAGGTATTGTAAAATAGTTTGTAAGCAATTGCCAAAAAGTAGCATTTAGATGGTAGGTTTTTGTTTTCCTGCTCTTCCTGCCCTCTGGGTTTGCACATGGAAAGGTAAGCTGACCGGAAACTGTCCAGAGCAGGAACGAATATGCTATCAGCTTGTTTGGAGATATCTGGTTGCATTCCTGAAAGAGGATTTTCTTTTTTCTTTTTCTTCATTTTCTGTGAGCAGGAACTTTTTGTATAAAGCAAGTTTCAGTAATGTAAGATGAGTCCAGTGGAAAGACTTTGGGAAAAACCTTGGGAGGCGGGGTGAAGAGAGGCTGCCTAGGGAAGGGTCCGAGAAGGGGCAGCAGAGCCCGTGGCTGGAAAGCGGGCAGGGCGAGAGGCGCAGGAGGGACCCTGCCCGGTTTCTCAGGCTGCAAAGGAGATGGCGGGAGAATAGCACTTACAGACTAATTCTGTTAGTGTAGCCTTATAAAGAAAGTGGAACGAGCTCAGGTTGTTGCGGTTTCTGCCTGATCCGGCTGGTAAGGCTGATGCCTTGTTTAAAATTCACCAATTTCAGGAGGGTGAGGTTAGTCTCCAGCTGGTTTCCCACACTGTGTTGAACATCCGCTCCCATAATTCCCAGCCACCGAGACTTACTGGAAGATAATAACTCACAACAATTCTATGTATGCTTCCACTGAGCCTCTGCTATGTGTATTAATACCTGTAACGCATGATGAAACTTTTCTCTCGGTTCAGGTTTAAACAAATAACTCCGGAGACTCCCGGTGTGTTCTGATGCAGATACCGCAATCTGGAGTCTCCCTTGAATCATCTGATAAGCTCCTTATTAATTTAACCTTCCTGCTGATAAAACTGAATGAGAATCGCTATTCCCAGCATGCAATTGCATATAAATGCAACACAAGGATCTTTTTGCATTTTAAATAAACAAGATGTTCTTCTGATGTCTGCGTACATCCTGTAGGAAGGCTGGGACAAGCCTCTCCGGAGCTGTTGCTAAAATTACCCGGATGTCTCGGTATTGTCACCAGGTGTTCAAATATCACCTTTAATTCTCTGTTATCCCTTTTGTTTCCCTTTCCTGGGCCTTTGCAAGGACGGAGGATTGCTCCGCAAACTGCCTTTCCCCTCGACTTCTGCAGAATCCCTGACCGGCGTGTTTTTTTCTATTCCAGGAGGTTGATTTGATCAGGGCGTGCCAAGAGAAAATGAGAAAGCTCGCAGAAAGAATCGACCAGCAGATTAAGTAAGCTTTGAAACAAGTCAGCTGCTAGTAAAAGCGGGATGATGAGTTGGTCTGATTTATCTGTGCTGGGGATGATGCAACAGCTGCAGCAGCAGTTCAAGATCAGCATTATGGTTTGAGGAATCCTCTTTGGGATGGGTGGGGCCTTCAGCAAAGAACAACCAGTTCATTGGGCGGCTCTCAGTAGCAAGAAGCGTGCAACTGGAGAGCACCCAGAGGGAAAACCAGAAGTAACCTTCAAAGGCAGGAAGTGGAACAAGAAAAGAAAAGAAATGGCAACGGCTAAACTGGCATATGATTTGTTCCTTGACCACTATCACCCACCCACATGTTTTACTTTGACTGTCACACTAGGCAGAAATTCAACAGGTAGCGGTAGCAGGACTCCTTCCTTCCGCTTCACTCTTTTGTCTTACTGAAAGGAAAGTGGGATAATCAGGAACTCCGTAAACATAGGAAGACTTTCTTGTCACTCTTGTAAAAGTGACAGAAGTATAGGGTTAAAATTCGTGTGTGTGTGTGTTTTTTTTAACAACCTGGGAATGGAGAGAAATTTCCTGTGCCTTTTCAGTGGATGTTCCTTGACTCCTCTAATTAATAATATTGGGAGAGGGAAGACGATAACCGCATAAATCTTTGTTCCAGCCTTAACAGAGATGCTCAACATGCGCTTGAGAGGGATCTCGGAGATAAAAGTTCCGCTCATTTTATTGATGAAAAATGCTATAATTTGAGGAATACTTCAGACAGTATCAACTACTACCATGGAATTGAGAAAATTGATGGAACGTAAGTACCGGACTATCTCCTCGTAGTCATTTAAGTAGCAGCCAAATGAATGCGGGAATAAGAAAGGGCCGGTCTCATGAAGTTTGTCAGAGCCGTTTCGTTGATAATTGGACACTGGATTAGGGACATCAGTGAGCACTTTGCCTTACAGAAAAAAATTAAGGGGAAAAAACCCTTAAAACATTTTTCCTAGACTTGAAATGCATGTTAAAGTATTCCGTGTCAACCTTAGATGGCCTCAACAATTTTAACTGGTTCTTAACGTTCCGCATTAGTGAGGTCTGGTTCTCCACTGTGTGCACAGAGCTGCACCTCTTCACTCGTGGGCTCTGTTTTCTTCTCTGTTTTTCACCATCCCATAGTCAGCAGGGAGAGAAATGACCACGCTGCACTCAATGGAACCCTTTATACCCCGCAGTCTTCTCTCCTATTCTTAGCACTGGGCTATAATTTTGACCCAGGCCCCTCTCACTTGAAATCATAGTTTCCATTCATTATCCAAAGCGACTCGGCTTCTTGCCTTGCAGAGTCTCCGTCCCTGAAACCTGGGCGAAGTTTAGCGATGACAACATCCGGTATTCCCAGAACGCCCGGGCCAACACGGCCATCCTCTGCGAGGAAGCCAACCACACGCTGGAAATCACCTCGGATGACATGTGGAAGCAGTGGACAGACAGCAACCTGTCCTTTACCTCTCGCATCTCAGAAATTGCAGATGCCAAGAACCAGCTGCAAGCACAGCTGGCGAAGGTAGGACAGACCGGTGGGCAGCATCCCGTTTGCTCTGGGCTGATGGAATCTCTCTCATTCCTATATTTAGGTTCAGAAAAACCGTCGGAGCCTCCAGAGCAGGGTCTCCAACCTCAGCAACTTTACCACGTGTGGATTGCTGGCTGAGGAATTCTGGGAGTTGAAGTCCACAAGTGGTAAAGTTGGTGACCTTGCTGACAGAATTGGAAGGCACCTAGGAGGCCATCTAGTCCAACCCCCTGCTCACGCAGGAGAGCCTATAGCAAGACCCGTCTCTCAACATTCTGCTGCTGGGAGTCCCAAGCTGAGACCCCATGTCCCTCAGCGCAGGTGGTTCTCGTCTTAAAGACCCCAACCGGGGCCGGGATTTTGGTTGCTGAGCAGCTCAGGGCCTCCACTCCAGAGATGGGCACGCTGTACAGAACGATTGTTGTTGAGGTACAGATGTGGAGGCTGTCCGAGCTGGCAAGTCAGGAACTCCCCGCTTGGTCCAGCGTGCTGACTGACCTTCTGTGCTTTTTCACTCGAGAAGACGCCGGAGAGCCCTCGGTCTGCTCTGCCCACACTGCCCCGTGAGGCCACCAAACCGGAGACAATCCAGCAGCGCGCGAGAGGGAGGTTTTGTGGGGAAACAAATGGTGAACCTCACCAAAGCGTTGGACAACGTGGGCAGGCAGGCTTGGCATGAATCGGTGTCTTGTTCCAGTCTCTTGCACGGCAGGAGAACAGTCACAAGCACAGAGATGAATTATGGCCTTCAGCGAAACCTTTGTCAGTCCCGTCCCCGCCATAACTTCTAGAATAAATGTGGAGTTGTTTGAATTCAGATTAAACCAGTAGTTAGACAGAGCAGGAACGCCCGTTTTCCACCTAGCCTCTTTCACTCTTGTGCCACATTAAAGAGAGGCTAAGTGACCAACGTCTTCCCTCGGCTGAGTCCCCGGTGCTGTGTGTGTCCACTGGACAACCGGCGGAAGCATCTCATAGAGGCAGGAGAATTGAAAGCGACCCTTAATCCCGTGAAAAAGGACGGCGGGGCTCTCTTCCTTTGCTCCTGGGGGAGCCAGAAGGGAACTGAACTGAAGAGCCAAGAATGCCAGGGGGCTCCTTTGGGGTTATGCTCTGGAACAGGGGGGCACCTTTGGAAGAGCCCTAGACATCAATCTGCAGCCACTTCTGAACTTCTTTGTGTCCCCCCCCCGTCCCCCCCCCGCTTTTGCGCTGATTTCTGATCCTTCCCATGCAGCTCTGCAACTCTGCAGTGATTGCTAGTAAGGCTGTTACACCCTTTGAAATGATGTGAATTATCTGGCATCGTGGATTTTATATGTAGCCATTAGGTGTAGTTAAGGTCACATAGTGCTGGTAGGCAGGAAGGTTGACCAGGTTGCAAGTACACATCCGCTCCCTTCCTGCTTTTCCTTAATTCTACTTTTTAAAATAGAAAGCAAGAGAATTATGACTTCCAATCCTACCTATCACAACACTTTCTGTTCAAGAGAGGTTGAATGTTTGGTTTGAGTTCTGAGTTTGTGTTCCAGATACTGACGGGGAAGAGTCGACCGCTTGTCAATTGTTCCTTTTCTTAGCATGAAATTCAGCAGGAACTTTTTCCCCCAGAAGAGAAAAAACGAAGCAGAGCAAGAAGAAGCCAGGCTGGATCTGGCTTTGCGCTTGGTCCTTTCCCTAGGCTGAAGCAGCGCCCCCCCCCCCCCCCATTTTTCCCCCCCCCCCCCCCCCGCCTCTTTGCCTCTCAGCTAGAGGAGCTTGGATTTCTCCTTCAGAGGGGCTGAGTTTTTTTTGAGTAGTTCTTAAGAGGAAGTGTTGGGACTCTTGGCCCATCCTTGCTGAGTGTGCTTATTGTTTTTGAGATCTGACTGTGGGAAAGTTAGAAGCTCATCCTTTTTAATGACTCAGGAAGCACCCAAAAGAAGAGAACCTGATATTCCTATCACCACTTGGTTCAAGCCCTCCCCAGGGAGGTCCTGTGTTGGAAGAGCTCTTGGGTGCAGGAGGACGGCTTAAGGGGCAACCTTTGATGCCTTCTGCAGGATGACCAATCTGTGCCCAGTATTGATTTATAGAGAGCTGGCATATCTCCTTAAACTTGACAGAAAGTTCTTCACCTTTGTTAAGATCGTGGCAGAGGAGGCCCTGGGTGGGCATTAAGCAGAGCCCAGAAACATGGGGGACCTTGACCAACTAAAGAGGGGCATTTCCTGTATTCCAGTGGCTACAAATCCATGAAAGAATCTTGAATCTCGGCCACAAAGTTGTTTACATACTAAGTTTATTTTGCTTGATATATGGGCAGATATTTCAGCTGCATTACTCACTTTAACTGAGAGAGATCAAAATGTACTCAGCCCTGATTTATTCTCAGCCGGAGCAAATGTAGGGCTAAATTTTCCAGACTAATTAGCACAATATTTTGGGCCTGCTTGCTATACTGGGAGGTTTGACTAACTTGCCTGGGACTGTAGAACAAAAACTAAAAAGGGACCAGAACAAAAACGAAATGGGTTTTAATTAAAATCAGGGTTGATCGATTAATTACAATGAATATTCTGTGTCTGTTTAATTATTTTCTCCTGGCAAGTTAAACATTGCCGTTCAGAATCATATGTTCAGGGTCCTCAGGGTTTCTGTTGCCGGGTTTTAAATTATGTATTCCCTGATTAATCAGTGAAACGTTTAAAAAGAGGAAAAGCTGCCTTGGAGTGGAGCTTGATCCTTAGCCACCCCGTGGGGCTCTGCGTTTTTTGTGTATGTAGTTTCCAGGTGGTTTTTGCGGGAACAAAGTAGAAGTGCAGCTTTTTTGTGCTGGATCCGCAGCTGGCCTGAGAGCCAGAGCCGCCGTCCTCCTCAGAATGGGCCGGATCCTGGGCCCAGGACTCTCCCGCCGGGCCTTGCGTGCTGGCAGCTGTTTTCCTTTCCAAAAGTGTCACGGATCTTTACTTCCCCTTTCAGACCCTTCAAGAAATCTTCCAGACTGAAAACACCATCATGTTACTGGAAAGGGCAATCATGGCCAAGGAGTGTCCCCTGAAGGTGGCCCAGACCCGCCTGGAAGCGCGGACCCGGCGGCCAAACGTGGAGCTGTGCCGGGACGTCCCCCAGTTCAAGTGAGTGCCCTGAGAGACGCTGCTGCTGCTGCTTTCAAGGAGGCCAGCGGGGGCCTGTGCGGCGAAGCACCGTTTGGGGAATCCGGGCTGGGAGGTTGCCGAGGCCTTTCTGGAGCCCAAGTCCCCTGTGGCGGCTCTTCTGGAGTCGGTGCTGGGCCCTGCCAGCCGGTGCTTCTGGTCCCCTCCTGCCTCCGTGTTTTGGTTCAGGGTGTCCCGGGCTGAGCGGGAGCCTGGCTTCCCTACAAGTGGGGGCATTAAATGGCAGATTTAGGCCGAGGCAGCGACAGACCAGCTCCTCTGCTGCTTGTAAGAGAGCCGGAGGAGGGGGGGTGGGGGGGGAATCCACCTGCCTTGCAAGCCGGCCAGTCTGCTTCGAGGCTTCTCCTTGTGGCTGTTAGCCTTGGCTCGTTCGTTAACATCTTCTTAAGCTCCTCGAACGGATCCCGTTAAGGAAGAAGCAGGACGCAAGCAGGCCTCTCTCTGCATGCGCTTCCGAGCCTGGCTCTTTCCAGGCGGCCATCCCAGCCGGGTCCCAGCAGCCGGTGACCTTTTCCTTCCCTTTCAGGCTGGTGAACGAAGTGTTCACAATTGATGACACGCTCCAGACCCTGAAGTTGCGCTTGCGAGAAGCCCAGGATACCCTGCAGCTGCTAATCCTCAACAAGTCGAAACTGGAGCACGACCTGATGGTGAAGGCCAACAGCCTCTTCATTGACAAGGAGAAGTGCATGGGGATGCGGAAGACCTTCCCCAGCACGCCCCGCCTGGTCGGCTACACTTGAGGCTGCCACGGCCGCCTTCCACGCTCCTGTCAATCTGACATAAAAGATTGAAAATCATGGGAGACACTTCTGCTCGTTTATTTTTTTCTAGCAAATGGAAGAAGGACAAAGAAAAATAAAAAATCCTGTGAAAATAAACGTTAACGTAACAAAAACAAAACCGGAACAAGGTCACAGCTTTTCTTGCTTGCAGAAAGTGCGAGTCAGCCGGGCTCTAGAGCGGACAGGAGCCAAATCCAGAAGAGGGCCTGATCCTGGCCCTCGCCCCCAGTGGCTCTTCCCCCCGTTTAGCCCATGGAGGCCACAAGGCTGAATCCACCGATTGGACCTGGAGATCTGGCAGCCCGGGTGGCCGGAGGATGCGACACTGACTCCACCTGCAAGCATAGGCCTTCCTGCTGATCCGCTTGGGCCAGGGGAACCTAGCCTGCCGAAGGGCAAAGTGTTGCATGTGTGAAAGCGCCATGTAAGTAGCTAACATTCATCCTAATTATTCCACCTGTGTGAACTCGATCTATATGTCTGCCATAGGAAGTGCAGAAAATGGTCTATGATTTCAAGGATCTCGCCATGTCTGCAAAAGGGAGAAAGGAATGCACATCGTAGAAAATAATTCATCCTCCCCATGCTGGTATTCTGTCATTTATAAAATACAGTTTACGGTGTAGGGAGCAGAAGGTGCAAACCATTAAGCCATGATAATCATGCACTGGTATGCGCTCACAGGGAAGGCACGATCAGATTGTTGTCTCCTCCCCTTCCAGTTCCACCCAGTCCCTCTCTATAACCTTCCCTCCATTTCTAAAGCATTTAAATTTCTGGGCAAGGATGTGCAGTCAGCATCCTTTCGAGTTCAGCCTGTTTCTCAGAAATTTAGAAGGCGACTCACCCCAAAGAAAAAGGGGCCCTGTGTGGAGTCAGCTTCCTGCCTCTCCTCCTTCCGTTGTTGTTTCAGACAGTGGACATTCAGCTCAGCCCTGGAAGAAGGTATAGTCGGGAAAGGGATGAGCCTTGAGATGCTGCCTTGACTCTCTTCTGAGATAATCGTTTTCCCCCCTGAAGCCTCACGCCAGCCTGGTGAGAGAGCAGGAATGGTTTGTTCCTGTAGTCCAAAGGCTCGGTTTCTTGGCATCCGGGTTTTTTAAGTGAAGATATAGTTGCTGTTGCATCTCATTCTCCCCCCAAGACTCACGGGAAGAATGCCAGCTGAGTTGCTATAGTCTGAACCACCTAGCTGGCATTGCTACAGATTTATTTATCACTGAAATCACATCTCATTCTCGTAATTATAAGCCGTGTTGATTGAGTGTAGCAAAGACATGTATGTGAATGGATTTAATTACCTTTATAACCAGGGGATATATACATTTAATTACAGGTAACTTGTGGGGCCTGGATATTAAACAGCTCCTCAGCACTTCTGTTTGCTGCAACAAACCCTTTGACCCGTCTGGATTTACCGAAATGGCACTGTCGTGATTTAATTTTCTTATTTTCCTTCAAAATGCCGCTGCTTCCATAATCCAGCCACGTTCTGCTGTCTGCCCCCGTCTTTGCCTTGTCTTGGTTGAGCAGAAAACAAGGTGGCATTTTGTTCAGCCCGTGGCCCCTTACTTCGCTTCTGGGTTTCCTTCCTTAGTTTCTCTGCTGGCATTCAAGAGGAGGTAGACGATTATGGGTTGGGTGGTATCCCTGAGGGACAGAGGCAAGGCTAGGAGGTTGGAGGAAGCGCCTTGACTTCCAGTTAACAACTCCAGATCCTTCCAGATCCAGATGTGCAAAGGCCTGCCTTGTTTTCTGAGAACGTTTTCGGCCCAGAGGTCTTTCATTGTAAAGGGGCCCTTTCTCCCGCGCTCTGCCCTCTTTAATACCGCGTGGGCTGCTTTAGGGCTGGAGCAGGGAGGAAGAGGAGGGGGAAGGGGGAACAAGCGCGGTAGGTGGGGCCGAGCTTTGCCAGGGTGGAGCTTCTGCGAAATGTCATCTGGCATCCAACTGCCTGGCCCTTTGGACAATGCAGATCTCTGGCCCTTGCCGGTGCCAGCGGCCAAGTATTCCGAGAAGTCCTGCTGGTGGGTGCCTTCAGAGAAGAATGGGCGCCTGTTCTGAAGGAAAGAGTCCGGTTCTTCCCTTGGAATTAAACAAGGGCTCTTGGAAAGCCTCAATTGTTGGCTGCACTCTGGAAGGAGAACATTTTGCCCGGCTTGGTGCTGGCTTGGTGTTCTTAGCTGTCCTAAGCCCCTTTCCCCCACCTTTGGCTTCCGGTCTTTCCACTCTCCTCTCCTCCCTTGAGATGCGCGTCTAGGCGTTAACCGTCTGATTCCGAGGCCCGTCTTCCAACCTCTTAGGCGGCCCAGCTTGCAGGACAGCCGTGTGGTTTCCCACCAGCACGGCCCGGCCCGTTGGCCACACCAGCTGGAAGTCGCACGATGGACGACGAGGCACAGATTTGGGGGAGGGGGCTACACATTCGTAAAGCTCTTCCGAGTCAGAGACCCTACAGCTTGGAGAGTGCTGTGAAGCCCTATGAAGCAGTCCATAAGCCTATTGCTGGACGTTGACCCCGCCCTTCGTGGGCCCAGGATCCCTGCAGATGCCCTTGGGTGACAAGGACGGGGGTCTTTCCCAGGAAGCAGCAGCCCCACCCCCGCTCTCCAGGCGGTCCATAGAACAGGAGACCACACAGAATCCCTGGGCGGAGGAAGACGGGGAAGTTGGAAAAAAAAATGGTTTTGGGAAGGAGGCAACAGGACAATCTCTCTCTACTGTGGCTGGGAAGATCGTCTCCATCTGAACTGCAGTGAGTTGAGCTCAACTGGAGGACACTTGGAGGACGGCATGATGCCTGAGGCCACCCGGATGTTTGGAGACTGAGCCCCCCCCCCCCCCCTCCGGCTAGGGAAGGCTCTCTCCGGCTCTTTTTCTATTCTCCCAATGGCTGGGCAGGGTACTGGAGTGCTGCTTCATTGCTTTCTGCTGGCCCTTGGTGAATGGTTCAGCGTCTGGCCTTTGAATCTCGGCTTCTTGGGGCTTCATTAAACACTTTAATTGTGGTCTCAGCTGCTTCGCCGCTTTCATCCGTGCAGTGAAACAGGGAGACGAAACACTTAACTAAATAAGCGTCTAGCTTTTCTTTACTACCGTATTGGTGTAAGAGGTTTTTTCCCCCCTTTTAATTGAAGAAGCTGGCAACCTCGGGGAACAAACACACAAAGGCAAGCTAATTATACCTGCTCCCAAAAGCTGCAAGCGGTGTAGCTTTCCTTTTTAAAAGTAGAGACCAAAATATTCCAGCGTGTGCAAACGAGGGCGAAAGCGACAGCTGACCCGAAAATAGGGATAATAAGAACTTGGGAAGAGCCCTTGGGAAGGCCAGGGCGACCTTGGTTTGTTTTCGAGGCCCCCCTCTTCGGTAAGGCAAGAGCGGTGAGTTCACTTTTAATAAATGGGGCCCTGCCTCCACGAAGAGTGGGGGGGGGGCAAGAGCTGACTTGGAAGGCCGAAATGGGCCCTTTTGGTTCACCCCAGAGATTCGAGACCAGCACCCCTGGTCCTCTGCCTGGACCCAGAGAGGAGCAGCCATCCGGGTCACTGGCCAAGATGCCCCAAAGCGGGTTCTGCTGCCGGAATCTCCTTGATGAGAAGGGAAAGTTTCACCAACTCCTTCGTGGTTTGCCTGGAAGGAAGGGTGGAGTCAGCTCTGGAAGGTGAGGCGAATTCTTTTCTCCGCCTCCCTAATTTTGTTCAAAGGAAAATGAAAGGAAAGGAAGGGGAGCTCTGTAGCAGAACAAGCACACTCAGCGGCAGGACGCTGTCTTGATGGCTAATTGGGAGCCTTGGCTTTGAGGAGAACTCGGTGTTCGCGCTCCCTGAAAGTTCAAAGAAAACCCTGTGGAAGAAGGTCAAAAACAAACCAGGTCTTCTGTGTTTTAGCAAAGCTGGACCTTTGGGGAGGATCTTTACGCAGCCACCTCCCTCCCCCAAATATTCAAACAGGGTTAGAGAATAACTATCCCTCCTCCTGATGCAAGTTTGCGTCATTAGTTTTACCATTAATGCAAACCGGGAGCCCTTCTGGTTGGAGACTATTTCCCAAGGCCAAATTGTCAGCCTGCAGGAAGGAAAAAAAACCAGACGGTGGGATGGCTGGACTAATTGATCAAAGGCATGAGGAGGAGGAGGAGGAGGAGGAGGAGGAGGCACCCCCACCCCTCCTTCACACCTGGAGGGACTGTGAGTGCCCTCCCAAAAAACTGTTCCTGCCCTCGCCAAGCAGGTTTGGGCCTCTGGAAGAGAATGCGATGAGTCAGCCAAGTAACTGCCAAGTGTCAGGTTGATCTGTGGGCTTCCAAGTGGAGCTTTGCTGAACCCAGTGCAAGCAGCATCCGACAGGAAGAGCCACGAGGCTTCTGCAATCTCTTGAAAAGCTGAAACCAGCACAAGACCTCAGAGGATCTGCTGGCCAAAGGCTTCAGCCTCTCCCTGGGCAAATCGCCTTGGTGAACGGGCGGCTGCTTCGATAGGCCTTTCTGGCTAGAGAGGAGAGCCCTTCCTTGGCCTTCAGGAACGTCCCCTCCAGCCCCCAAGACTGCTCCAGATCCTGACTCTTGAAACTCAGGCCGGCAGGTTGTCCTTTCGCACGCCTCACAGGTGAAAATGGGGACAGGCTTCCACCCCCAGGAAGGGTGACTGTCCTGCCAAGCCTGGACGAAGGCTTTAAGCCCCCCCCCCCCAGCCTCCATTTTGCCTCCCATGCTCGCCACTGGCCTAAAACCACCCGGAAGTGGATTCGTCCTTTGGATTAGCGTGAGAGTGTGGGGTGGGGACACCGGCACCTTCGTAGGCGCCTCCCTTTGTCCTCGGTTTGCTTTTGAAACTGGCCCAGCCTCTGGCTTCCCCTGCCTATCCGTTTGCCTCTGTGCAACTGAAGATGCTGGAGGGTGGCAGGAAGGAGAAGGGCGAGGGAGGGCAGTGGAAGACAACAGGAGGGGGACTCAAGAGGGCGAGGGGACCACCCTGGAACAGTCCCACCTGCTTCCTGATCAACGAGTCTTTGGGGGGAACGGGAGGCCCGCCTAGGAACACAACTCTGTGAGAAGAATA